GGCCACAGCAGTGAGAGGCCCACGTACTGCAAAAAAAAAAAAAAAAAAAAAAAAGGACCAAAACAAAAAAAAAAAAAAAAAAAAAAAAAAAGGTCCACATCAAAAAAATCTTAAAAAAAAAAAAAGAAAATGTGCCTAAAGCACCCAGCATGGGGCAGGGCCCAAGGTCAGGGCTCACAAATGTCAGGTTCCCTGCCTCCTCCACACTCCCACTTAATCCAGAATTGAATATAGCAGCAGCAAGATGCCAAAGGAAGAGCCCTCCGGATGAGTAGCAAGTCCCCCTGTGCCTCAGTTTCCTCCTTGTTATTTTTATCATAGAGAAACAAACACTGACAGAAGAGGGATGTTGGGGAGTTACTGCCTTTAATTAGTGGGGAGCAGTAGGTTGACAGTGTTGTTCAACTGTATCCTTACTGATTTCTTGTCTGTTTTACTGATGCTTGAAATATGGGGACTGAAGATTTGCAGATCTATTTCTCTTTACAGATCTATCACATTTTGTTTCATGTATTTTGAAGCTCTGTATTAGGTACATAAATGTTTAGGATTATTATATACTCTTGATGAATTAAACCGTTTATTACAAAACAACCCTCTTTCTCTTTGGTAATATTCTTTGCTATGAACTCTACCTTGTCTGTTGTTAATATAACCACTCCAGCCTTCGTTGATTAGGGTTAAGATGGGATATTTTTCCATCTTTTTACTTTTAACCTATTTATGTCTTCATATTTAAAATGAGTTTCTTATAGGCAACATATATTTGGATATTTTTTAATGCAATCTGTCAACCTTTGCATTTCAATTGGATTACTTATGTCATTAACATTAATTGGTATGATTGGGTTTAAATCTACCATCTTGTTATTGGTCACCTTTTTCTCTCAACAGTTATTTATTCCCTTTCTTTTTCTGACTACTTTTGAATTAAACATTTTTAATGATTCCATTTAATGTCCTCTTTTGGCTTTTTAACTATATCTCTGTGTGTTATTTTAGTGGTTGCTTTAACATTTACATATACATCTTTAACTTATCACTGTCTACCTTCAAATGATACATTATTTCCTGTAGAGGGTAAGAACCTTACAATCATATAGTCCCATCTCTCTGCTCCTGGTCTTTGTGTTATTATACAGAGTACAATTTGACTTCCACATATGTTATAAACGCCATATTACATCATTAACAGTTTTGCTTTGAACTGATTATCTTTTTTTTTTTTTTGGCTGTGCCGTGCGGCTTGAGGGATCCTAGTTCACTGACCAGGGATAGAACTCGTGCCCCCTGCAGTGGGAGCGCAGAATCCCAACCACTGGACCGACAGGGAATTCCCATGAACCACTGACTATCTTTTAAAGAGATTTAAATAGTAAGAAAAAAAAATCATTAATACGCACACACACAGATGCCCTTCCAGGTGCTCTTCGTTCCACTGTGCAGATTTCCATGTGGTGTCATTTTTCCATCTGCTTGAAGGACTTCCTTTAACATGTCATATGTGACAGTCTGCTGGTAGTGAATTCTTCCAGTTTTTGCATATCTGAAAACAACTTTATTTCACCTCTGTTTTTGAAAGATAACTTTGCTGGGTAAATAATTCTAGATTGAAGTTTTTTCCCCCCTCCTGTACTTTAAAGATATTGCACTTTCAAGGGAAATTTCAGAGAATTAAGACTAGAATAGTGCTCAAACAGAAGTGAGAGTTCAAATATGTATATATTTAAATTTGCATGTCTTCTGCATACCTTTTAAAACCTGAACACATGCATGCACACACATGCATACACAGACACCTTCAGAATAAAAAGGAAGGAAGCTTCCCTGAACCAAAAGCCATGGAGATGAATACTCCGTTTGTGTATATTTTGTTTCTATTTTCAGGCTCAGAGAAGAATGGAAGCAGAAACTGGAAACAAAGCTGAGACTATGGAACAATTCAGATGAGACAGAAAAGCGGGCCAATGTTGGCCAAGAGCTTCACTGACACAAGAGGATACAAAGCACTGAGGTCACTCTGCCAGGACAAGCCAGTGCAAATCCCTGAGTCCCTTTGCTACACCATACAGATTCCATACTATTGTTTCCCCCACCTGTAAATCCTGTGGGGATTTACCTGTGAATCCTTCCCCAATGCTGAGTGGGAATTATTAGCCAAGGCAGTCCTCTCTGCATGGGGACCAGAATATTACCCCCAATGTGTCTAAAGACGAGATTATCTAACAGCAAAGCTCCATGCAGCATACTTTATTTCCATATAATTATCTTCTAATTTTGAAATCCCAATATTTGAAATTCTAAGCACATGAGGGGGGATTTTCACGGTCATACTTTAAACATCGCACATTAGTTTTGCTCCACATTTCTCCTAGGAAACAGCACCATGTAATCCTTTTTCTTGTTTTCTTTTTATGAGAAGAGAAATGCACCTATCTGCAGAAATAAAAATATTGTAAATAGTCCTTAAAATAAGGTTTACAAATTAACTGATCTAATATTATTTTTCTTCACATGAATTTAATAGGCTTATTCAAAAACATGTTTACGTAGAACCATTCAATAAGATCGGGATAATTTTAATAAAACTTGGTTGCCATGCCATCACTGGTATACATGCTCTTCATTTTGTTGCTTTCTTTTAAATCTCCACATGCTGGCACTGGTTGGCTCTCTGTCAGCTCAGCTAAAGTATATCTGGCCACCCCAACAAAGTGCTTGTCACATAGATTCTGGACTTTGAAATATCATTGTCACTGCCCAGCCATCTCTCAGGTCCCCATACAGGGTTGCTGCTTCTAAAAGTGCAAACTGTAACTAGGCCTGGTGCAACATTTCCCAACCAGGCCAAAGGAGCAGAGAGATGCTTACATGCTGTAAAGTACTTGATGGTTGTAGGCAGTGCCTGCAAAGCCTTACATATTTAAGGGGCAGTGTTACCAGGAGACACAGAGAGCAAGGCAGAGGCAATTCTGAACAGAGCAAGTGTGGTGTTCCAGTCCTCTAAATGCCCTGATGTGCCTGCCCTAAAGTGCTTCCATCCACATCCCCAGGGAGCCCAGATGGGAGCCACCAGGAGGCAAGAAGAGTTGGGGGAGCATTTCCTCAGATTCCACACTCATATGATCCAGGAAACAGGGCTTAGAGCCCTCCTTCCTGCTATGGTCTCTCATTCAACCTGAGATTCAATTCAACTAATAAACCATGAATCCCAGCTGGGTTCTTTTGAGATTGATGAAAGAGGAATTTTTGTTTGGTATAAGAGGGAAATAGGAATTAAGTAGAAGGAGAAGAAAAGACAGAGTTTTCAGGCTGAGAGGCTCTCAGAAGAAAAGCCCTCCCATGATGAACTGCAAAACGCTGCTGCTGGAGTCTAAATGCAGTCAAGTGAGGCAGATAATGCATGTGAAGATTCGTTGTGCATTAATTCATTCACCGCATACCTGGCACTGTGCTGTACGACCAAATACAGCAGAGTAAACCAGAAGTGATGACTCTGGAGGCTACAGTCTAGGGAAGATGGCAGAAAAGCCAAGGCAATAAGTGTGAGGGACTAAATAGCACTGGGAGCCACAGCAGGCAAAGGTGCCCACGTGATATGGGGACCCATTCTGGTCTAGGGAGGGCTTCTTAAGAACAGGGTAGTTAAACCCAAGTAAGCATGATCCAGTGAAGGCAAGATTCAGGGCTCAGGTCCTGGGTGCCTTGAGGGAATACATTTAGCTAAGCTAGAATGGGAGTGAGGAGAAGGTGTAGCAAGAGCTGAATCTGCAGAAATCAGCATTCAGGGCCTTGCTGGATGAGAGTATGAGCTTTTCCCAAGGGCACAGGAAGCCACTGAAGGGTGTTGGCCAGGGGAGAGCCACAGTGGCCATGGTTCAGGAGGATTACTTTGCACAGGAAGATGGAAGGACAAAGGTGGGAAGTCCAGCCAGGAGGTTCTGCAGATGCCTCCCAAGAGGTAAGAAGGCCTACACTAAGTCCTCAGTGTCCTGGCAGCAGGGACTGGGGGGAAAGAGACAGGGAGAGAAGCATGAGTGCCTTTTCTCACAGTACTAGAGGCTTGAGGTCAAAGATCAAAGCGGCAGCATGGTCGGTTTCTGGTGAGAGCTCTTTCCTGTCTTGTAGATGGCCGCTTCTCACTGTGTCCTCACATGGTATGAGGAGAGAGAAAGAGAGAAAGAGAGAGAGGGGAGAGGGGGAGAGAGGGACAGAGAGAACAAGCTCTCTGGTGTCTCTTCTTATAAGGACACTAATCCCATCACAAGGGCCCCACCTGCATGACCTTATCTAAACCTAATTACCCCCCAAAGGCCTCATTTCCAAATACCATCACATGAAGGATTAGGGCTTCAGCATATAAATTTGGGGCAGGGTAAGGTTTGAGGGGCAGGGAGGACACAATTCAGTCCATAGCAGAATGGGATGCTTTCAAACTATGTATCAAGTCCTGGACACATCCCATTTATAAAATTGACCAGGCTCAAACAGCAAAAACTTTGAGAGCTGAACTACGGTGTGGAATACCATAGGTTACAAATTGGCCTCTGGGTAGCACACAAGCAACAGACCACAAAAGCAAAGGCTTTGAAAAGTAATTGACATTTAAAGTGTAGCCCACAAAAGTGGGCCAGGACATGTGTTCTTAACATAAATAGATTGACTGTCTATTAAAATAGATACATAAAAAGGAGAGTCTCCTAGCCTTGTACTCAAAATGTCCAGGATAGGGCTTCCCTGGTGGCGCAGTGGTTGAGAGTCTGCCTGCTGATGCAGGGGACACGGGTTCGTGCCCCGGTCTGGGAAGATCCCACATGCCGTGGAGCAGCTGGGCCCGTGAGCCATGGCTGCTGGGCCTGCGCGTCCGGAGCCTGTGCTCCGTGACGGGAGAGGCCACAGCAGGGAGAGGCCCGCGTACCGCCAAAAAAAAAAAAAAAAAAAAAAATGTCCAGGATATAGTCCAAAATGACTCATACCAAGAGCCAAGAAAATCTCAACTCAAATGAGAAAGGATAATCAACAGACACTTAGTACTGAGATGACACAGGGGTTGAAATTATATGACAAGGATTTTAAAGCAGTTATATAAATGCTTCAACAAGCAACTACAAGCACTCTTTAAGCAAACAGAAAAAGTAAAAATATCAGCAAAGAAACAAAAGATACAAAGAAGAACTGAATGGAACTTTTAGAAATGAATGCTACAATAACCAAAATAAACAAACAACAAAAATAACACTGGATGAGCTCAACAGCAAAATGGAAAATACAGAAAAAAGGATCAGTGAAGTTTCAGATAGTTAATAAAATTATCTAATTTGAACGAGAAAGAGAAAATAGTTTTCTTTAAAAAAAAAAAAGAAAGAAACAGAGTGTCAGGACCTGTGGGACAATAACAGAAGATCTGAAATTTGTGTCACTGGAGTCCCAAAAGAAGAGGATGCCCACTTTCATGACTTCTATTCAACATAGTACTGAACATCTAGCCAGAGCAATTAAGCAAGAAAAAGAAAATAAAAGGTTTATCTCTGTTCACAGATGACATGATCTTATATACAGATAACCCTAAAGATTACATACACATACAAAAGAAACTGTTAGAACTAATAATAAATGAAATCAGAAAAGTTGCAGGATACAAAATAAACACACAAAACAAAATGTATTATTGCATTTCTAATACAACAACAATGAAATATCTGAAAAAGATTATGAAAAAAATTCCACTTGTAATAGCATCAAAAAGAATAAAATACTTAGGAATTAACCAAAGAGGCATAAGACTTGTACACTGAAAACTACAAAACACTGCTGAAGGAAATTAAAGATGCAAATAAATGGAAAGACATCCCATGTTTACGGATTGGAAAATTTAATATTGTTAAGATGTCAATACCACCCAAAGCAATCTACAGATTCAATGCAATCCAATCAAAATCCCAATGGTGATTTTTACAGAAATAGAAAAACCTGCCCTAAAATTCACATGGAATCTCAAGGAACTCCAAATAACCAAAACAATCTTGGAAAAGAAGAAGAAAGTTGGAGATCTCATACTTGCTGACTTCAAAACTTTCTACAAAGCTAAAATAATCAAAACAATGTGGTGCTGGACACATAGGCCAATGGAATAGAACAGAGAGCCAAGAAATAAACTCTTGCATATGTGGTCAGATGATTTTCAACAAGGGTGGGAAGACCATTCAATAGGGAAAGGACAGTCTTTTCAGCAAATAGTGCTGGGAAAACTGGATACCCACATGGAAAAGAACGAAGTTGGACACATACCTTATACCATTTACAAAAATAAACTCAAAATGGATCAAAGACCTAAACATAAGGGCTAAAACTATAAAAATCTTAGAGGAAAACAGGGGGAAACTTTATGACATTGAATTTAACAATGATTTCTTGGATTTGACTTGGGTATGATAACAAATAAAAATAGATAAATTGGACTACATCAAAATTAAAAACTTCTCTACATCACAGGACACAATCGACAGAGTGAAAAGGCAACCCATGGAATGGGAGAAATCATTTACAAATCATATACCTGATAAGGGATTCATATCCAGAACATATAAAGAACTCCTAGAACTCAACAACAAAAAATAAACAACTTAATTCAAAAATGGATAATGCATTTGAGTAGACATATTTAAGTAGAAATTCAATATAAATCTCCAAAGAAAATATGCTAGTGGCCAATAAGCACATGAAAATGTGCTCAACGTCATTAATCATTAGGGAAATGCAAATCAAAATTACAATGAGATACCACCTCACACCCATAAGATGGGTACTATCAAAAAATACAGAAAATAAGAAGTGTTGGTGAGGATGTGGAGCTATTGAAAGCCTGTACACTATTAGTGGGAAAGTAAAATGGTGCAATTGTTGTGGAAAAAATATATCAGTTCCTCAGAAAATTAAACATAGAATTATCATATGATCCAGCAATTCCACTTCTGTGTATACACCCAAAAAACTGAAAGCAGGATCTTGAAGTGATGTTTGTACACTTATGTTCATAGCAGCATTATTCACAATAGCCAAAAGGTGGAAGCAACCCAAGTATCCATCAATGAATGAATGGATAAGCAAAATGTGGTATATCCATATAATGGAACACGATGCAGCCTTAAAAAGGAAGGGATGTCTGACACATGCTACAATATGGATAAATCTTGAGGACATTAGGCTAAGTGGAATAAGCCAGCCATGAAGGAACAAATA